GACGTGGGGCCCATGTCACGCTGCCGTACAGCAGTGCCTCCATCGCCTCGGCCTGGAGAAGGCGAGTCTTCAGTCGGAACGGTGCTTTCTGCCTGTCGAAGAGCTCCTGGCCATATCTCCTGACGCATGCCCACGCTGTTCTGCTCCGGGAATTGATCTCCCGGGTGAGGTCGCCATGTTCGTTGACGAGGCCACCTAGGTACCGGAATTCAGTCGTCTGGGCATACCTCTGCCCTGCTGCCTCGATGATCAGCGGTGGCGGCGGGGGGGGGCGGTGGTGTTGTTGTCTGCTTCCCCTTTGCGCGCATCAGGAGCGTCTCCGTCTTCTTCTCCGATACCGTCAGCCCGAACTCCCCGAACACCTCCACGACGACGGTCATCATTCTCGCTAGTCCTTCGGCAGACCTCGATACGACGCCGGCGTCACCGGTATACAGCGTCTCCCATACCGCCCTCCGCACTCGGTGTAGTGGTGTCCTCGCCTCCGCTCCCGTCTCCACCTCCAGGTACACGAGGTTTTCCAGAATAACATCATCCTCGCTGAATCGAATGGCAACGACCTCGATGACCGCGGCGAAGAAGATATTGAACAGCAGTGGGGACAACACACACCCTTGTCGTAAGCCTTGCGTGACCAAGAACCAGGCCGAAAACTTTCCGTCGTCCATGCGCACCCAGGCCCGCATTCCGTCGTGAAATTGGCAGATGACGGCGACCATCTCCTCAGGAATCCCGGCCCTGGCCAGGACCTTCCACAGCAGCTCTCGGTCCACCGAATCATACGCCTTCTTCAGGTCGACGAAGCACATGTAGAATGGTATTTTTCTTCTCCGCCCCAACTCCTGGAGTCGGTGCACGACGAACAGCATGTCGATGGTGGATCGCCCAGGTCGGAACCCGCATTGTTCCTCCGGGAGAGTGTTGTTGGTTTCGCAGAGGGCGCTTTGCGCCGTCAATTTTATTCACCGCCTGTCCTGTGCAATGGAATTGGACACACGACACCCACTTTTTGGACATGCCCTGAAGGGAGTAGTACGGGGGTATACAGAGGTTGGTTTGTATACAACAACTGCTACAGCGCCCCATTCGTGGGTGGTGTTACAGGAGGTTGGGTATTTGGTGCCGTAACGGGACGGGAGGGTGGTGCTTTTTCTGGCGGAGCGCCTCTCTTTTCTTTCTGGTGCAGGCAATATGTTGGCGGTTGCCGATTCGCCGAATGGTTGCAATCGATTCCGTCCATGGGTTACGCAGAGGGGATAATGTTGCGTTCTTTCTGGATTCTCGGTAGTTGCAGCGCGAGCAATTGTCCTTGGCCTACAAAGTTGAGCTGGGGTTGGTTTCAGTCATCGAAGGTGGATCATTTTCGGGACGGCACGTGCACACGGACGCGTGTGCGGCAAGAGCCTGGTCGTGCTGTCGAGTGCCAGAAGCAAAGCAGATGGCGTGATGATGAAAATCTTGTCTTATTCTCGTTGTCTTCCTTCCCTCGCCACAATGAAAGTCGTCTTTGGAGCCGGTGGTGGCAAGTGGATGTGGACCAGGTACCAAGCAAGCGGCGACAGCTTTGCGACAGGTTGTGTCGTTGGCGGGATGGCAGCCGTCTGGCTATACTGCACTCCCTTTGGATCGGGCACGCCATACAATTGGCAGCGCGTGGGTCGTCGCCGTAGGTTGAGCGGAGAAAGGAGCTTGGGCCGGGGAGAAGGGGTTGGCGTTATGTCCGAAACCATGGCAGAAACGCCGCGTTGGATGTCGAGTTTTCCGAAGCGTCAGACTGTGGTTTAGCGAGGCATGGCCTGGGTTAAGGCGCCTATTGGGGGTATGCATTCAAGGCCGCCGAATGAAGCAGGGGGGTTGCCAGAGGTGGTTCGAGAGGCCGTTTTGAGATGACGTGCGTTTGGTCGATGTGGCATTGGGACCAATAGGGGGGAGGAGAGGGGGGCGTACTCTTGTGTTTTGCATGCCTTAGCGGTTAGACCATTGACCACCCGTCCTCGAGAGGACGGAGCATTGTTCCCACAGGACCGATCACCGACGGCCAATCGTTCCTTCCTACTTTACCAAAGGTGGCTCAAAAATTGCTTCCCTAGTCTATCTACCCTATCGATATCACTTCCCGCCTTTTCAACCCGCTGCCTATGCCCCAGTACAGCCTGGCTATTCCATCCCTCAAACATCTCCGTGTACCTTCCTTCTACATTGCCCAGCTCAGTCAAGTACTATTCCTCTCCTTCTTGTGCAACAGACATTCCGCAACTACATGAACACGGTCTTCGCACTCGGATCCGCAATCACATTTGAACTTGTCTTCGTTATCGTCTTTCTTCCTAAATCTTCGTCTACTTTCTCGAAGGCCAATGTCCCCGGTCCTAAATTTGATCTTCAGCTTTGTCCCTGCATCCATTGATCCGTTTAGGTACTCCTTGAACCCTATTCCTTCTTTCAACATTCCGTACACATCTAGACACTCTTTATCCTTGGATTCTTTGTTTAGATTCTGTTCTCTCTCAGCAAAGCAACAGATATCTTCTCCTTGCATCCCTCTAGACCTTCCGTTTCCAGCGTATCACCTTCTTCGTCAATTTCGAACTCTTTCCGTGCGTCATCTACAACCTTGACCCACTCCGTAAGTTGTCTACCCCTCTTCTTGTTTGCCCACTTCGCCTCCCAAGCTATTCTTGGCAACTTGTCCTCTCCCATACCGCACATGCGGTACTGCCATTTTAGCTTCCTTGGGCGCCTCTTCCCGATCGTAGGGATTGGATCCCCAGTTCTGCCCCGACGGCTGCATTTCTAGTACGCTGGGAGCACCCTAGGATGATTATCGCTGCTTTCATCTGCGGCGCCTCGAGCTCATTGACTTCCTTCTTTTCCCCTTCCCATACCTCTCCAGCGTACTCTAGCGGCGGTACGATTACTCTCTTCAAAACGGTCAATTGTGATGCGTGGTTTGCGAGTGTTGGGTGCAACTTCCCTGCTCGTGCTTCGCCCTTTTCCGCTACCTTGGACATTATTTTGTGCTTTGTATGATCAATGTTTTCGATCGCTCCTACGAGATACGAGCACGGGTCCACTACTGCAAGCTCCTCGACCCCCCGCTTCCATCTATACTCTACTGGCTTCTCCCTGCCCTCGATGCATTCCATGACGGGGAGGAGGGGGGGCATGAAATGTCAGCATAGCAAACCAGCCCACCTTGTGTGGTGGGGGCAGGCATGGCGCTGCCCGTATGCCTGATTGGTCTGTCGACTGGTTTTCACTGACGTGGTGGCGGGGAGGAAGATGTGTGACCGGCCTCGCCCCCCCCCCCCCCCCCCCCCTGTCAAGTCTGGGGGGTGCAACATCCATCAATCCAGAATTCTGAACGCAACAAAATGAGAATACCCTTGCTCCGTTATGAGCAAAGGTCCCTGAAGTGGTGAATAACCGTCAACCAACGGAGGTAATTTCGCTCTTATTGCAATGTGGCAAGGAATGGCCGAGCGTGGCTGACGTTAGTCAGCCTTGCTAGGGTGAAAGGTGAGAGTGAGCTTCAGGGGCTCGCTTCTACCCTCCGGCTGGTCACAGCAGACGGAGGGTCTTTTCGTTGTAAAGATCTTCAGACCTCGAGAGTCGTTCCTGGGGTCACGGATCTATACGGTTGTATGTGCGTCCCTACTCCTGGGAAGATACCTATATCCTGGTTTCCACATTGCCCCCCTTTTTGTTCGCCGAAAATCCATCTTTATGAAAAAAAATGGTTTTTGGCGCTCATTCTCAAGTGAATGAGGGAATGCTAGTGGAGTTGGATTTAGGTTACTCCTGGTTGTATGACACAGCTCGTGAATATGATTGTTTCCCCCTCCTCATCGCTGCCGTGTTGAGAAAACACGCGTTACGTTACAACGAGGGGATCCGCACACACCCGTCCCTACTCCTGGGAAGATACCTATATCCTGGTTTCCATAAAAAGCAGAAATGGAAGGTCTACGTTTCGTGAGAAGCGGAAGACAAGCGAAAGAAGACAATCTTGTGCGTCTTTCAGACTACATAATAACCGCTCCGATCTCTGCGCAGCACCTTCTAATACCCGCAAAGATTCAACTGACGCTCACGTCCCTCCATAGCTACCCATTAATTACACTTAGGATGAGAAGGATTACCGTCCCGTCCATGGGCAACTTGCTGGTCTACGCCACAGGCAAGAAGGCGCTCATCGAGTGTGCCCAGCCACACGGTTTATCTGTAACCCGTCCGTCTGCTATTGAGGGCGTCAGTGTGGCGTCCACGGAATGTGTTGATACTGCTGGTTCGAGGAGTGTATTTTTGCGAAGGTTTTGGTCCTTGATGGACGTTCTGTGAACGGAGAGTCCATACTGTATACTGTTAGCTGTGAAAGAAGGTACGGTGAAGAAGGTAATCTCCAAACAAGAACGTTGGCGGATCCACATATGAGCGTGATTGGTATCGTGTGTCGCCATCTCTGAGTACACACTTACATACATGGTTTAGTGCGTTCCTGCGCCGTAGTGCTGAGTGCGACACTCCCTGCAGGTAGCCACGTAGCCAGCCACGGGGACATGTTTCCGTGCATGTTTCCTTCGTCGGCATTTTTTCCAGAAAGGACGCCTGTGTGCCGACCGGTGTCACGATCTTTCTTACGATTGACAGAGACTTGTACTCACGTTCCGTGCGGGCCGAGGTTGCCCATGGCGTGTGGAGAGGGGGATCATTTTCTGTCTGCTGCGTGTGTGCCAGCTGGTGTATGCTGGCAACGTGCGGGAATCTGTGGCCCTCTGCTGTGGGACTGTCGGACTGCGCGATCCGTGATCCGTGTGAGATCTTGGAGGGAGAGGTTTCGCCGCATTTTTCGTGACGAACGCGGGACACCCATCTTTCTCAGCTGCCGCACTCTGCGAGCCCCCCGGGTGCAAGCCGCCTCCGTCCGATAGGTCGCAGCAGGCGCAAGCAAAGAAGAGAAGTTAGCAAACACAAGAGCTCACCCCGTGACCGAGGCGGCCATGTATCTCGCCAGAGCACAAGCCTCGAAGCGGGTTTTGACGGGTGCCGCCGCAGGTTGCCCCGCGGCGTCACGAAACGCCTCAAAACTGCCCGCTCTTGGGACAGAGCGCCTATCGTCCTCTTCAGCAGCAGTAGCTCGTCACACCGGGCCTGTGTTAACAACACACGCACGGGTAGCGGGGGGGTTGCTTCCGACAGCGGCGCGATGGTCGGCGAAGAGCGTGGCCGAGGCTCGAAGCGCCAGGCTGCTGGTGAGAGACCAGCAGACGAGGAGCTTGGGGTTGTTTTCGGGGGGAGGAGGGATCTCGCACCAGAGGCTGAAGGAGCTCGAGAAGATGGCGGCGCAGTCACCTTCCGATGCGAACGCAGAGGTATGCTGTCGAGATGACCTGCTGACTGTCGTAGATGCGTGGTTGTAGTACTCAGAAGTAATGATGTGGTCTGTGTGAGCGTGCTGTTCGCCTCAGGGTGATTACGTTGTAGAAGGGGTGTACGATTGTATCTGTAAACCAACAAACACTGCAACGTGTCGCACACTATCATACGTGAACTAAATATTAATGTAACATCAGGGCTTCCTACCTCTGGACAGACAGACGTCGTCGTCCTCAAGCTACAGCAGTAGCTCCCCCATGGTTACTCTGGCTTGAAGAACCTGGTTTTAAGTTTAAACCACCCGCCTGTCGGGGCGAAGACGCGCCGAGCTTACTACTCTACACTTAACTGCTGTGCAGTGCACGTTCATTTGAAATTGTGGTGCTGTAGCTTTCACGGAACCCGTGGCAAGCTGGGCCATGTCGGCTACGAGATTGTTTTCATCCGCTGCGTGCTTCGGTGACAGCGCAACAAGCTACCCTATTGATACGAAGTGGTAGATTCTACCAAGCAGAGACACGCGGGGGTCCGAGCGTATGGCCAACATTCAAAAATAGTGACGTGAACGTCGCATGGTTATCGATATGCTGCAGGGGTGGAGAGCAGGGCGAGGGTACGTAGCCCCGCCTCATGTGAGGAGAATTTTACAGCAGGTTCAAGTCTACGTGGAAGAATAGTTCTACGAACAGGAGTGTCATAGATAGTGTAGTCCTTACCGCAGAGTTGTTACGTTTGTCTCTAAGGCGGAACCATGTTTCTCGCGCGAGTTTGTTCCCGTCACAACTCCAGGTTCATTTTCGAGGGTAGTTTCAATTGCTGGCTGCGCAACGAACTCGGGGAGGGGGCGTGTCTCAGGGCGGCGGGTTCCGGTTCGCCGATGTCGTTATGGCAGCAGTAGAATGTGGTATAGAATAGCGTGGTGCATACCCTTGTTCCCCGAAGCCGCTCAAATGTTCAAGTAAAGAGATGTCCCGCTCGCAGGTCGCTATGACAGGGTGGCGGCGGTTCCCCGTCTACCACACCAAGCTGCCACATTTACCCTTTGTCTTGTTTGTCGGCATCCGCTCATGCGTCCTTACGTGCTGCTTCTTCTGCTACTGCTACTGCTGCTGCTGCGGCTGCGGCTGCTGCTGTTGCTGCACGCGCTTCAGGCGAACTTCTTGGCCCCGCTTGCGGAGAAATACCCGGAGCAGGCCATGAGCCGCTTCGAATCGGGGCAATTCCCCATCAACTCGGCGTCAAAGATGGCCTACGTTAAGGCCGCCTCGGCGCTGGGACGGATGGACCAGGTTGACATACAGGTGTGTGGGTCCATTGCCTTGTGGTGCTGCCTGACTTTGATGGCACAAGTTTTGGTTGCGGTTTTCGCCCTTCTTCGGATCCGTTGAGGTACGGCGCGGGTTTTGGCTTTCGGTTTTATGCGTAACGTCGGCTAGACGCTAGGTTGTTTGGTAGAATCACGCCGTCGACAAGATGTCGGAGACCGGCGGGGCTGAAGCCGATGCTGTTTCAGTCTGATCGTGTCCCTACCCATCGACAACACGATGAACATCAAGTTGGGTCCGGGTTCGAATGAGCACTATGTATGTTGTGCTCGTCGTCTAGCCTGTCAAGCCTGGATTGTTGATGCGTTATCTTTTCGAAGAACCCTGACAGGTTCTTGCTTAATGCGGGGGTGGGAGGGGGGGGCGTACTCTTATGTTTTGCATGCCTTAGCGGTTAGACCATTGACCACGCGTCCTCGAGAGGACGGAGCATTGTTCCCACAGGACCGATCACCGATGGCCACTCGTTCCTTCCTACTTTGCCAAAGGTGGCTCAAAAATGTCTTCCCTAGTTTGTCTATCCTAACGATGTCCCTTCCCGCCTTTTCAAACCACTTTCTACTCCCCAGTACCGCTACCGTCCTCTCCTCCCTATTCCATGCCTCAAACATCTCCCTGTACGTCCCTTGTATTTTTCCCAGCTCAGTCATGTACACTTCCCTCTCCTTTTCGTACCACGGACATTCCGCGACTACATGAACGCTGTCTTCGCATTCGAAGCCGCAATCACATTTGAACTTGTCGTCTTCGTCGTCTACCGTCCTATGTCTTCGTCGACGTTCGCGAAGGCCTATGTCCCCGGTCCTGAATTTGACCTTAAGCTTTGTCCCTGCATCCTTTGGTCCATGTAGGTAATCCTTGAACCCTATTCCTTCTTTCAACATTCCGTACACTTCTAGACCCTCCTTATCCTTGGATTCTTTCCTTAGATTCTGTTCTACTCTGTCGGCACAAGCAACAGATATCTTCTTCTTGAATCCCTGTAGACCCTCCGTTTCAAGCGTTTCATCTTCGTTGATGTCCAATCCCTTCCATACGTCCTCTACAACCTTGACCCATTCCGTGGGTTGTCTACCCCTCTTTTTGTTTGCCCACTTCACCTCCCATACTATTCTCGGCAATCTCTCCTCTCCCATCCCGCACATGCGATACTGCCATGTCAGCGTCCTTACGTCTCTTCCCG